TGTCCGATATCCTATATCTTAAGTAAACTTCATGTTCTCTAAGTGTAATTAGCATAATATGAATTCATTATAATCAAGATTTTCACTTTTCATGCAACTCAACTAAACAGTTCGAATAGGTGCAGTCGTTTTTGTTACTACTCCAGTCGGAATATCAGATGAAAGGTGAATTTACTGAATGTTCTAACCTATAGTCCATAGGTTTAAATATATGCCAAAATTATCTGTAAACTAATCAAATATTCTACTCTTAATTACTTAATTTATCCAAACAAGTGAAACGATACTAAGGATATGAATCAATAAATGTTATGTAACAATACACTTTATCAAATTATTCCCCTTAATTACATATATTCAATCATGTGGATAATGAAATCATTATTAGAGTATGTAATGTCTATGATACTTGAACCGTAGTTTCTATTCATCATTGAAATGAAACGATTAGGTTCCAACTTAACTGTTGTTTGGCAGAAAAAACATTTACTTAATCGTTTTAACTATATCGTATTATAAAATATGTAAATAATTATTGAATATCAAGTGTGTATGTGTATAAAATATGGTATAGATATTTCGAAGAGATTGAAGGATATATTACGATAAGATTAATTCTTTCAACATGATCACTTCATATACAAAAAACGACAGATTAAATTTAGTCAAGAGATAGATTACACAAGATATATTTAATAGTATTGAAAATGATCAAGGTGGTTGATTTGACTTCAAGGCATTTATACAAAATGTTTTTTAGATATATATGTGATAATATGATTTAATGGATGACTTTTACTTTAGATAAAGGCTATGTTCATATTCAAAGAAATTTTGCAAAACAAGGTAACTAAATAATAGTTTTGTGCTTACTAATGACCGGCTTTGAGAATGACATATCAAAGTTTGATTTGGGGACTATGACATGTAAATATGACGAGTTTGGTAATATACACTCAGTAAGTGACTGGTATAATACGATTGGTTGATCACTATACAGAGACAAATTTCATGTTTGTCTAATCCTTGAATACTGATTTGCAATGTGAACGGTAGTGTGAGTACATAGACATTGTCCTTCGATGTTAGGTGGTTGGATATATTTGTCAGAAAACCATAAACCTATGTTTCATGCTAAGTGGTATTAATCAACAGAACGTGAGTACAATTTCGGAGGAATCGATGCTCTCTGATTGATGCTGAACCCCTTCACACAGCTTCAAAGTCCAAGGATTTATCACTGAATTGTTTTAAAAGTGCCACGTTTTGTAAGTACTTGGGTCGTTACATATCCGATCGTGTATGTGGTTGTGAACATGTATTGCCTATGATTAACACAACAGGATGAGGTTTTCAATGGTTTACCAAATGTTAGTTCTAATTTGTTATGACCACAACAGACTTTCTATAGGATGAGGATATTTACGCTGAATTACGAGCAATGTTATGTTTCTCTAGTTTGTACCACGAAACTTAGGTTCATGGGTTCAATCACCTTGAATTATGTGGTACTTAGATTCAAACTACTGGATGTAAAATTTCTTAAACTAGTGGACATATTATAAATTGATCAACAGCACCACTGATGAGCAAACAAAACATATTTCTATCAAACTGTCCGAATAAGTGGTCATAGAAACAAGCCTTGGATATTACTTAGTAATAAATCAGGGTAATTTTTAGCTTGTTGATTATCTATGTCGTTCTTTACAATCCTAAATTCACATATAGTTATTTATTAATCATTCGCAATCCTAATCTTACAATGTGATTATATTATAACAAGGTTGCTTTTATTTTACTGATTGATCTTCTTCCAAATATAAATAATTTTAGGCAGATAACATATACAGAGCAAACTATACCCACTATTCAAATAGGCTTGTAAAAACTTTGATTCTTAACTTTAATATGATCAGTTAGGTTACTGAATCAATACTTCCAGAATTCTTGTTTCAAGATTATTTTATATCGACCTGTGAAATGTAGTAACAATACAGAAATTAACTAAATAACTGTTTTGCACCTGAAAAGAGCTCAAGCACTATGAGTAGGTTTTGATTTGTTAAGAAGTAGATATATCTTCCTAATTAGTTTTACTCAGATGAATATCTCATTTAAGGTGGTCTTATTATATATGATAACCAGTGCTAATCATTATTTTGACATTTTTAAATTCAAAACCGACTGAACCTTGTGAAATGTAGATTAATTCAAACACAGTTAAGGGCTATGCAAAAATGTGTTCGACTTGGAGATAGTTTCTATGTTAAGCCAAATCTTAACATGTTGAATTGCATTGAAAATAAAGGACCATTAGATTTATAACAACAGACAGGAAAATACCCTAGTCACTGGAAGAACTGTTGATATTCGGTTCGCATATGTTCACCATGGAATGTGCTCATCAGAGCTCCTAAGTTTTCAGTAGTGTTTCAATTATTATCAGTACATCATAAAATTTACCATTTACTTTAGCCATATTCGAATATTTTGGAAATACACATACCTATTAAGGTACAATTTAGCAGTGTTTTGAGAAAAAAGCGCATCTTGAATCAGTTAAACAGTAGCACTAGTAAATAATTATATAAGATTCGAAAGGAGGCTACATTTGTCATAATATGTACGAAATAATTTGGACCTGTATATTGATGAGTGTCGTCGATTTTATTTGGGATCAAACTCAAGTATATGAAAGTTAGTGACAATTATAATATAACCTACATAGAAAATGATTGTCTCAACTATTATCGAGACTCAATAAATGTTCCATTCAAGTCAACTAATTTTCCTTAAATCATATTGGGAAAATAAAGGTAACTTAGGTGGATCAATTAATAATATTTTTATTAAATGTTAGTTTATAGATATTTCTATACATATAACTATGACTATTACTATTATGTAGTGTTTATATTTACCCAGTTTCAACCTGAAACATTTAGAAAGAAGATAAAGTAACTTAGTTTTTCCTAACAACGCTTTCTAAATATCTCCTCAAGTTGTTTATTTACGATATTTTTGTTAAAATAACTGACTATATATGTGTACTTAAAGTGTTCAGTATAATCATTATAGTTTACTAGACTTTCCGTTTGAATAAGAAACCACTATAACTATATTTCTTATGATTATTAACAGGGTCAGGATCAAAGATAACCATTCTATTTTAAAATGTAGTATCATTATACTACTTAATAAGTAGCCTAAATGTAATAGGTTATAATAAGTAAAATTTAATTTAATCTTTTCCTTGATGAATTGAATTTCTCATATGATTAAATTAGCTTAAATTTTAATGCACATACGTATGAGTAATACATCATATGAAATATAATTAAATTCGAGTCATTGTAAAATACATCCATGTCGTAAAATATTTGGTGATGTGTTAACAAGTGAACTGATTCACAAATGGAAATTATACTAATTCTATGATCCTCAACAGTAGTCCAACTTCATCTGTAAAATAAGTTCAGTCTTTAAGGAAATCAATTAACCAGAATTTCTGTGTGTTTTCGGGTTACTCTAACTAAAATGTTGAATATAAGGCTGTAAATTACGGTCGATACAATGTAAGAGCAACTTTCATATTGATAAAATCCTCTTCTGTTCCAAATTTCAAGTCCAACCAGTAAAGTACTGATGATAAATATGTTTTAACTGGGGTAAAATAACTCAAATATTTATTATCGATTTAGTGTCAAATGAAATTTTATTTTGGTTTTTATTGGTCGATTGTAATTAGTTGATTACAACCCGTAAGTCGAAAATTTCTAAAATCAACACGTCAATTTAAATCTATCAATTGCAAACAGGTACCCAGAGTTCAGCAAATCTTAAATACACTAAATAAATAAGCGCAATTTTTAGTATATTACTCAACTCACTTGAAAACAGTATGTCTAACATAAACATGGATATAATTACCTTCTGCATTGTATTTAGTAATTAATAAACTAACAACTAAACAACTATTTTTAACCGATCTATATTTATTAACCATGAAGTTTTTGTAGAATTTATGTTAAAATCATGAAGTTTCTAACATGACTTGAACTTAATGACAGTACAACAAAAATAAGATAGAGAAGTGAATTATCTCCTATTCATTTACGTACATAAAGAATGGATAAAGATGATAAATAATTAAAATATGACTGATTAACCGATACTTCTTCTGATTCTGAAAGTGATTGTATTCTTTACTGAAAATGTATTTAACTTAATCTTAGAATTCGAAATGGATAATGTATAGAGTTGTATTTACTATTTATCCTTATAGTTTATAAGGGAATTTTACTTTAGTTAAATTTATTTTATAGTTAATCATAATGATATTATTGTTGAATAGTTTGTAAACGTTAAAGATCAATATAATAATACCCATAGATTTAAGTCCATTAGATTTACAATCGAAACTTCTTAATTATTATCATAATTCATTGATTAAATTTTCTATTACACATTTTGTAAGTTCTCTTTTTTAGGACTTGAATTTTCACTTTAATACTAATAATAATAAACCTTAAGTTACTTTTACGGTAGTTGTACAAAATATCATGCAATTTTCTTTAACGGTTACTAGATATATAGTTTACATCTTTTAAGCCTTAAACATAATGCATGATTGGTAATCTTGACCTAATTTGCAAACGTCGTTCGAAGAACTAAGCCTTTATGAAAACTAACCATACAAGTAAAAAAAATCCTGTCTTGTAGTATTGACAGATCTAGCTTGAAAATGTTGCCTTGCTTAATATACTAATGGTCTATTAGCATTTTTGTCTAAAGAACACTGACTCTCAGAGGAGTTACGTAAGGATTTGTCGTCTAAAATAGTGTAAGGAACTTACACATTGCGCGGTTTCTAAAATATACTTTTTGGTCATAAACCAAATTTATGTTGTAAACATCAGGATAGAGTAAAATACATTAATTTTATTAAACGAAATCTAAAATATTTTAAGAAGAATGTTATATATTTGTTATTTCAGTTGAAATGTTGTGCTGTTGAAGATAATCAAGCAGATTTATATCTTCGTTCTGTTTGGTATTCACGTCAAATACATCAATCTTCAGTATTTGGAACAAATTCAATACGTTTATTATCTCAAGAATATGATAATAATTTAGGAATACCAAGTGTAGTAAATGTTCCAATGTCATGTTGTGTATATTCATTGGAAACTAAAGAATTTTCTAATCGTACCGCTTGTCAAATTGGTTCTTTAAAATCTAATTTAAATCCATATCTTAATCCTCATGTAAGTTAATTTTGTTGGTTAATTAACTTTGTTTATTCATTATATAAATTAATATTAACTGTCATGAAGTTGTTTTATGTCTAGAAATCATTGATAAAAAGTTAATTATTCGATGAGGCATATAAATTACGATCATAATTAGTTTTGTTCTATTCAAACCAAAAAAAGTTAATTTATTAAACTATAAAAAACATGTTTCAACCTTCTACTATAGAATGAATATAGTTAAAGTTTCCAAATAAACCAATCCTTTATGAAATATGATTTTTATTCGCCTAGTAAAAAGACCATTTAATTTCGACTTCTGTTTAACTGTTTAGTTATTTATATTGAATTGTTTTTTTTTAAAAAAGAAAACAACTTAGAATCTATTTCTTCTATCGGTTCAATTCGTATTCACTTTTATTAACAAAAGATAAAGAAGGTAACTGATGGTAAGAATATGTATGTATATACGTGTAAAAATAACTAATAAATTAAATAATAATTGTCTAGACAATTCATGTGATTTACAATATGGGTGGTAATTTCTATTTAACGTAAATATTATGGACATATCTAGTTGGTTGCGTGTTGGCGCCATATGGCAACTAACAATCTGTTTCTGACAGCATAATTTAAGAGATTATTTTAAAACATGATCACAAATGTTTTATTTTCCTTATTTGAGTTTACTTTCAACGAGAAAAATACAAGTCGTTTAAGTTGAGTCCGCTGGTAATACAAGTTTCACTGATACTGTAGGCTTAAAACCACGATAAACTCTAGATTCTATAAAATTAAATATCTTCATCTATGGGTGTTTAAAGTTGCTTTGAAAGATGATTTAAACGAATTCGTATGTTTCAAATAATACATGCTTTATTCATGGAAAACAATAAACAGTATTCCTTGCTACAATTTTTTTAGTCATAACTATGTTTATTCAATCAGTAAGAAGTAATAAACTATAACGTTAAGACAGCATAATATCTGTACAAATGTGAGTAAATCGTCAGAACGAAAGAATTTTAATGACTCCGTTTTAATTTTAGTGGCTATTTAACAATTATTTGGTATGTTGTTTACTGTAAAGACGAATTTACTACAAATTTCTACTCAAAACTATCATCGTCTATTACTATATTGTAAGGAATTATCTTGAAACATTAGAATAATGTTTACCCATGAAGCAGCTGCTGAGCTCATTACAGCCATCTTTATTTTTAACTTCACCCTTCAACAGTAATAGAGTTTGCATATATATATATATATATATATATATATATATATATATATATATATATCATGTCTACATACTTTTTCAATATATATGTTTTCTACTTTACGTATAATATATATTATTATTGTGGTTCACAAAAGTATATAGTTGGTGGTTTGAATTAGTCGAACATGCATAAAGATCAATAGGACTGATAAGTCGTATTTGTTCATATTTGATTTAAGAGATTTTGGCATTCAATTATGAAAGTGTACTAAGAATGAGGGTCGAGTGTCTGTCTCTATCTATATGAAGTCATAATGCCAATTTGTGTTCGATTCTCATAGACTTAACTTGAATATATTGAAGTGTTTTGCTATATAGATATAATTATATAGAGAACACTATTCATATTTTTAACAAAATATGTTTCGAAATTTTGGCCCGTGCTAACACTATGCATCAGCAAAAATACACATATATTATCGATACTGATGTTATATTTAATTACTATAAACACTAATGTACATAAAACATTATTTGACTGTAAGCACTGTCAAATGTCTTGCCATACTGTGATTTAAGTCCAAAATATTATTAGTCGAAATTTAAAGATAGCAAACGCTTTTCACAGGAGCTTATATTCCAGCATTAAAGGTCATATTTGATGCTAGTAAAAGTACCATCTGTTCATTCATATACTAACTAGATGAATAATGTGACTATAGTAATAAATTTATATTGAAAAGTTAATAGTATTTACTTTTTGTTGAAGTGCTCTATGTACATTGATAGAATAATGACGGAACTAGTCAACCAAACGTTTTTTAATTGTCTGGTTTGAAGAGAAATTATCGGTATGTGGTTGTGAAGACAGTTGATTTTTTGATTGAGATCATGAATCGATTGACGTTAGAGCAACATTGAAAAAAAACCTGGAAACACTGGGTGGCCGTTTCGTCCGAATGGGGAACTCCTCACAAGTGTTCATCCACAACACCACGCGCGGGATTTGAACCTAGTACCTTCGGTCCCGTGTGTGAACGTTTAACCTCCAGACCACTGAACTAGTATCCAACGGTGCTAATGTCTCACTCCAACCAATCCATGACATTGCGCGACCATCTTCTGTTGTATGATACCTGTCCTTACCTGACACGGATTAGCTCCACTAGATGCGCACTCCTCAGAAGTCCCATACATTTTAAATGTAGTTATTAGTTATCGAGTAAGTAGGAAAAGAATAGCCTACAGATGAATGTGATTTCGAGTTTTGTGAATTAGGTGCAAAGTACTTCACTGGCAGGTACATAGTAGAATAAATAAATCAAGTCCACTAATTTTTCAAGTGTGTTATTTATATCCGTTTTCAGTAATCCCCATCATCAATTTATTTAGATATTAAATTCTGCTGAAAATTAGGTGACTATACTTATAACCGAGCTGATTCACATCGCTAACTTATTTACTTAATTCTATTGCCCTTCATGGGACATAGTCCATCAACTGGCAATCTCCGACCAACTCTTCCTCGGCCTTTCCTTTCTATTTTTTATCATATACTGTTGATTTTTCTGCTGTCTACTTCTGATTCCCAGTACAGTTTGTTTATTGGTCTACCTCTTTCTCTTTTGCCTTGAGAATTCCAATTTAGGACTTGTGTTTGTGGTCTCATTTGTCAGTTTCCATAGTGTGTCAACCATCCACTCCCACAGTGTCCTCCCGATTTCCTACTCATCTGGAAGCTAGTTTATTCTACAACATGGTTGATTATTGCTGATGGTCTCTGACGAATGGTTTATAATGATCTATACCTTTTTGATAATAGTTGTCGTATAGAGACCAGATAAGGGACAGCTCAGAATGCAGATCACGCCAAAATATATAAATAAACGGTTGAGGGTTATGCATGTGTATAGTGTAAACCGTTTGTAACGTCATATACAAAATATATATTCTTTCTGCCTGTTACATTTTTTAACAGTGGCAGTTATTCAGGTTTGAGCTCCCTACGATGAAAATTATTTTATCGTTAATATTGAATATTTTGATTGTGATGTTGGATTATAGTTGTTTTGAGTCGCAAATATTCTTCCGTTTTGGAACGCCATCCTTGCAATACCAGTGTTCACCTCCACAATTTAGTCCATCGTTGGAGTTCCATATGATAATGATTATATTCTCAGGTACTCCATAGTACCGTAGACGATTCCGTAGGATTACCATATCTTCACTGTAAAATGCTTTCTTATAATCAAGGAAGTTGATGAACAGAGATAAGTTTCATCCAATCGACTGCTCAACGATTCAATGAAGGAATATGTGTCACAATCTTCTTTTGAACATATAAATAGTTTTTGACGCTTGATAACAAGAGCTTCAGTAAACTTCAGAATACTAGGGATTAGTTGTTTGTTATTCACTTTGAAGCATTACAAAATGTCTCGTATTCGAAGTTAAAATTCACTTAGGAGCACGAATTACAAAACATGGAACGAACATCTTGTACTCAAAAATTATAAAAAAGAAAAATTCAGTAATTCCGCTTTCATCTGATGACAAGACTTCTTAAACAGGGTAATATTTGCGTTTCAGCAGCTTTGTCCCTTCTCATTTAAAAGAGGTCTTGTTAGAAGGGTGTTCTGAATGGTAAACAAACTTTTTAATGAAGATTACCTTGATAGGTAACTGGGAAATATTCAACGAAATTTAGTTGAGAACAAACGTTTATTAGTGACAAATTTCTAAAATAAACTTCCACAACAAGGAATTATCATTAAAGGGAATAAATTTGTCAGAACTTCGTTTAACGAGGATAACTATCTTCATTTAGATCGTATTATTACTTTCAATTTACAGTTTTTATTATAACTGTTCTTAATATTTTAACACCATCCGCCTTCCAAATGACTGCATCTTTTTATACCATTTTCAACAGTCATTATCACTACTATTGTGATTACCATTATTATGATTACTTTATTTACCATTGTCTTTTAGCAGTTTTTTTTTTCACTCTAAATTGCAATAATCAGACAACGTTTTTGTAGTCGATTACGTCACGACCTCTCTTTCTCTCTTTCCCGTTTATTCTATTCATCCATCCAATAAATTTGTAACAAAAAAATAGTGAATCAACTCACACATGAAATAATATTTGTAAAACATTTTATTTCTCCATAGAAATCATTTCACATGTGAAAAATCTTGAGTACAACAAATTAAGTAAATTTACTTCATCCTAAAATGTTTACTGTTCCTTTTTTTAAAAAGCTTACCATAGGAACTAATTGCATGGAATTGGGAGAAGTTAAGACGTCTATACGCCTACTCAATGACTGTTTTTATGGAGATCTGTAGAAAGAAAAACTAGCTTAGAGTTAACATAGTGAAATGTCAGAATGGGTTTTGTGGAGGGTTTTAGAAATTTCACAGGTTGAAATCATGAGTCAATTGAAGCTAGACCACCATGGAAAACATGGAATCACTGGACGGCCGTCTCGTCCTAGTATGAGACCCCTCAGCAGTGCGCACCCACAATCCCGCACCCCGCGGGACTTGAACCCAGGACCTACTGGTTTCGGGCGTGAGCACTTGACCACTAGACCACTGAGCCGGCATCCGACGGTGTTAATGTCTAACTTCAACCAATCCACGAAGTTGCGCCACCGTACACCATTGTCTTCAGTGAGCTGTTATCTCACATTAACACCGTTGGGTGTCGGCTCAGTGGTCTAATGTTTAAGTGTTCACGCGCGAAGCCAGTAGGTCCTGGGTTCGAATTCCGCGGGGTTCTGGATCGTGGATGCGCACTGCTGAGGAGCCCCAAATTAGGACGAGACGGCTGTCCAGTGATTCCATGTTTCCCATGGTGGTCTAGCTTCAATTGACTCATGATTTCAACCTGTGAAATAGTGAAATGTATTATTGTAACCTCCTAGATCTAAAGGATTTTTTATACACAAAAACTACTTGTAATATGACCTGCTCTTTCATCTGAGTCATTATTATATTAGTTCTAATATCACTACGATTGATTTTTATTAATAACACTTTTATTTCGGTGGATGCTTATCACATTGACCGTTTCTCCTCGTCTACAATAACTGCTTTATTTCTTATCTCATGATAAAGTCACATAACATTTGTTATTTGAATTATATGACCCTTAATCACTGTTGATCATTCACGTTAAATTCATTTCTTGTCCCAACTTCTAGATCGTCATCCAAAGATTTTTACGTTTAGTTAAAATTATTTTAATCACAAACTAAAATCATGTTTGTACTGGCTGTTACAACATAGCAGTCGTAGATTTGCTACTCTAAAGCTTAAGGTTGGAAATATCCGTTATATTTATTTATTTTAAGATTCTTTTTTTGGCACTGTGCAGTTGAAACTATGCAGTTTCAAGCCCTAACCTATTTGGAAATGAAATACCAGCTAACTGCATAAGCATAAATTCAGTTTATTTTTTATTTGTTCTGTTAAATTAATTATTTAACAGTGATCAAATGTCTTGTTCACATTTGTTAATCTACGTGTGATAAAAAACATAAACACTCTAACAAATTAATTTCTTTTGTATAATTTTTGAATAGAAAGATAATTCGATTGAATAAAATATTGTAAAACAATGTATACATGTTTGCTTCGTAGATATACAGATTCAAGAAAATTAACCTCTATATGACAGTCAAGAATTGAACATTTTATTGAGGCATGGATGAGCGAAAACTGGGCCTACCGAATAATAGTTGGAGATATTACACAACTTATTCCTTAAGAGATTCTATACATTTCGTTTTGTACGGGATTTAACGATATACAATGGTTTAGGTAGCTAATATGGAAACGATTATGTCACACTAGAACAGATTTACTTATCAAAACACTGAAAAACGTTTCGTTAATACAACTATTCCGCCTCAATCAACTTATATGTTGCTAATTTTATCAGACAGAAGTGGTTCGTGTTCGTTCAACTAACCCTGTTTTGTTGTCAACCGTGCCGGCTTGGAATACCGTTTCGTTTAAGGACTGTGTCAATGAGCATCTCGTTAAAGGCTGTCAATCAATCATCACCTACTGATCTAGGTTTTTTCTATCATAACCAAACACAAAACATATCTTCATGAAACTATCAGCGAAGATGAAAAGTGATGTTTAAGATCCGAGTACCGTTGAGCGTTTTGAAATTATTATCTATTCATGTGAATCAGCCATAATCAGAACGTGTTATAGTATCTTGGAATTTGTCTTAACAGGTTAAAATCTAAGCATAATTCACGAGTTTTTAAGTTGCATTTTAGTGTAATTTAGAAGTATGTACAGAAGATGAAAATTTTAGATCTCAAGAAGTGATTGAGAACAGTGACATAATGAAGCCGATGAAGTGGCTTGACGTCATTGATAGTTCATGTCCAATCTACTGTCGTCAGAATTACAGAAAAACGTTTTAACACAAAGTTAAGAATAATTATTTCCAATTTCTGTTTACTCAACTGTCCTGAGTAGACTAATCTATTCAGACGCTACCCAGAAGCTATAAATCAAAAAATATTTGTAAAGGCTACCGTTTGTTGCCCAAAACCTTTACTTAAGTATTCAAATTGATCGTAACGAATTGCGTAACGGATATAGTGAAAAAAAGACTGGAATAAAAGCGCAGTTCCATGTCTATTGAATAATTTGATGAAGACAAAAAAATTTCTTGAACTTTATGTACATAAATTAGCTTCAGTCTATGTTAGGAACAAAGATATGATTTATTAGAAACTGAAGAAAGTAACGGGAAAGTCGAAATTGATAGTATAATAATAACGTTACCACAGAGGTACTTTAAACTGTCTCTTAAAAGATATTATATAACGAGCAGAATTAAACATTATTATCATGTGTTAATTTCATTAAAGCATAAGTGGGCTACAAATTAACTACACATTAGAATTAATATGCGATCAAATACGATGGATCTAAACTGAAGTAAGCTGAATAATGTATATTGATTCTAACTCACGGCGCTTTTCTATTTAAGGTTAAAATGGGGCTGAGAATGAGCGTTAAAAGGGGATGGCTCTTAGTAATCGAGAAACAATAATAATTTTGTGTTGATAAATTGATAAGTTTAGTGAGCTTCAAGCATAGATCTGGACAAAATGTATTAAAGCAGCTGAAAACTGAAAAGAATCAGCAAACTTTGATTTTCGAGGCCTGAAAATTCCACAGCAATATGATATGTTGTTATATTAGTCTTATTTTCACTCTACAGTGAGTTTTACAGGACCTTTCAATGTACTCCCATTTTTCTACATTTCGATATTTCTATTAGGCTGCGGTTAAATGTCTCGACTTTTTCATACTCATTTAAAGTGTATTAGCTAGCAATGTTCTAATGATAAGCCATTTCTGTTTTCAGTTTGTTTCAATATGATGCCCACTGTGTTTAGAATACTAAACAACTTCTATTCCAAGTTAACAGTTGTTATTCACTGATTACATATAGAGTGGCAAAATATGGCCTTTTCGTTTTAATGAAACTATCTGCTTGAGATTTCCTAGCTTGATATATATAGACAACGACTATACATAATTAATATCAGGATTCATTAATTCTTTTTATCCGTAAAATAGATTATAGAAATTGTAGATTCTAGGTAACTAAAAATTTAATGTTTATTGATTTTACTTACTAGGGTTGTGCGAATGTGATTATTGCCCTGCTGTATCAGTATTTCATCCCATTAATTATAATGGTTGTCATATTGGCCGTACTAATGGTAAGTGAGAGTATAAATGTGTCTCAAAGCTTTTTTAATCATTCATTTCTGTTTATAAGGCTTGTGACTTAATACAATACAGAGAAAATCCGCACAGGATGTATATATGCCAAAAGAGACTGATCAACTGCAGTACTAAACATCACTGGAAAGATTTAAACAACCATACGACTGGATCATGATTTGTTAGCTTTTGTGAACTTTTTCTCAAAACAGTTTTATGGTTCTATATTTTGTATTATGATTTCGGCCCTATGATAAAAATAGTTACTAATCACTTAAATATTCACATCAGATTTAAATTATTTTGCTTCCTATCAGTAGACACAGTTTTAAATAATTTTTTTTAGTGCTAAAGTTAAACAAATATTTGTCAAACATTGTGTTTGTTATTTTGTTCCGTCATAGATATTAGAGAGTTTGGGACAAATATTTACGAGAACAAGTTGCTATAAGTCAAATTAGCACAGTGAGAGAAGAAATTAACAAAATATAAAGCAAGGTGGTCAGGCTAGGTAAAGGATATACATTTAAAAAAGAACAGATTAGATGTATGAAATAACGCTTAACCTCAAAATATAAAGAACATATATAAATGAATGAATTTGAGTCAGTGTTTCATATTTTCGGCAATGTTTTTTTTAAGGTTTTCCGCCACAAATTATTATTGGTTTGTGGATTCTAATCAGAATGTTTACACATTTTGGTATGGCTCAAATTAGCAGTTATTGATTTTATGAATTGATATCATATCTTCATCTAATTGTCTCTAGCATTTTTCTCAAATCACGCTTGAACAAGCCAATATAGAAGATGTGAATAAAAGATATAGTACATAGTTTAATTTCAATTATCACTACATACTTGACATATTAGAAAATTTTTATGAATAAGACAGTTGTTCATTACTGTTCATTATGTGAGGAAGGATATCCTTCTTCTTAGTGACAATGTTTATTATTTAATAGTTTAATGCAAGAGTTGAGATAATGTTACGTGAATATTACTTCACAGTGTAATAGACATAAGAATCAAATGATAAAGTTTTGATTATACATGACAAAATTGAATATGACATATGGCATTGAGGCATAGTATTGATGAATATTGTTCATCCACCTATTCCTTGATTTATTCAAGCTGGAATGTATGTATGAATCGTGATACGTGGTTTATGCATGTAAATTTCCAGATATGAATAGAAATCATGTTTATCTTTATCTGGAACATGTTGTTTTTAACTCTAAACATTCTTGATATTAGCTTGTCATTGAATATTTGAATGAAAATATTTACTGTACAAATGGATTACCAGATGGTTACAAATATTATGATCAAGCTCTGAATGTGAAATGAAGTCTGTCAAATAAAGCAGGTGAAGAGTTTGTCAGGCTAAAAAAATTCGTTTCACTATGAGCTATGCTTTATTGTAATCATATGGTAAGACTTTAAAAGTTTCATTTACAATCATCAAAAAGAACTTGTTCTAATTTATTTAACTTGTTATTACTATAGGATTTTACACTGAAGTAATCCTATGACACTACTTCAACTATTTAATGTCAGAAAAATATCTTTTATCAAGTATGTGTTAACTGAAACAGCACTTTAAAATTCATTTTAATATGTTAAATACACATAACTCTGAGAATAAGTGTGTTTTCTAAATGTTCAACCTGTTCGTACAATCATTAGCGCACAATCAGTTTAGCTGTGTTTTAATCTTTGTTAACACTATTGTTTGCATAAAATCTTTGAAATTATACTGAATACTTAAACGTTTTATAGTGTCTATTATAGCCGACCTGATCTCTTTATTTCTTGTTAAATATAACAGTAAAGTTGATTACTTTTTGTTCTTGTATTTTATTAGAATACTTTGTTTACTTCCTGTTGATGAAGATAGATAGACAAACAAGCTTCCAATAGTTTAAAAAAAGAAATGCACATACATAATTACTGGTTTGTGTATTACATTATTTATCACCTCAGGATATATAAATATGCATTTAATATTGGGTCTACGAAGTAATCTAGAAAACAGTGACAATAGCTGTCATATTTGCTAAAGTATTCACATGTCTAAGACAGAGTGCTCTCACTACAGATACTAACTATGATTTTACTATACATATATAGTCAAATCATATTGAGGAAAGTGGATTTATTTCTGAAAGATATACCAATGTATATAGATTTACAGTCAAATAAGAAGTTTAGTTAAACAAATTCTATTGTTCTGAATATAAGATGGAAGACATCAATAAAATATTGTTTTAAATAGATCATTCGACAATTTAAAAATGGCGGTTTGTATGATTATGCAAAAGTTATAATTCCAAAATCATTCAATTTAAATGTGGATGGAATTGTTTCTTATTTATTAAAACTTCGGTTTATCTAGATCAATTTTTATTCACTGCTTTAATTTCGTTTCTTTCTTGGTAATTTGTAATAGCCTCATCGGGTTTCTTTTTGGTTGAGTTTCTTTTTTTATGTACGTTTACAATTGGTTAACATTTACAGACAATTGAACTAAACATATTACTATTGTGTCCTTTTCTTTTGGAATTTAAACGCTTGTATATTAATAATTAATAATTAGAAGTGTATAATTTTCCGGAAGTAGAATATTACCATTTATTTTCAATAAAACTTATCCTAACTAGGTTTTTCCTAGATTAGCATCGGTAATAATATCAGTAGTAATATAAAAAAAGACATGCTTTTTATTATGGTATCGAAAATTAGATTAATAAAAATTTCAGTATGTGAAGAATATGAACAAAAGTAAATCACTTAGAAAATAATATACCGATTTGAAACATGCAACGAACTGAATAGGACGAAAGGCGCGTCATGGATTCCACTGCTAGTCACTATCCATCTTTGCTTATAAAGCTTTTGACTTCAGGCAATATCGAGACAGTCCACACAGGATTTACAAATGCCGATAAGAGACTGATTAATTGCAGTCCTAAATAACAATGAGAAGATACATTTAAACAACACCAAGTGAATATGAATAGTTACAATGTTAAACTTTTATAGAAATATCATTAATCTATAAATATAATAGGAAAAAGTATGTACAACCTTATCAATCCATTTTTCTTCTATTTTATAACAACTAAATCATAGATATACATTAAAGAATAAAACAAACTAGGTATAGTTCTGGAAAATATCGACTTCTTACCATGCAACACCTTTTAAGTTGAGATGCATTATGATTGTCAGTGTATTCTAAGCATATTTAAAAGTATAAGTAATTTATTTTCCAATACTACCGTTCTGTAAATGAGGTATCATAATAATAGATGAATAATATATTAGCATTAGGAAGTGACGTTTTCATTTTAAAAATACTAGTTTCATTCAAAAAATTTATTCTGAGTATCAGTTAAACATCATTTAAGAAGTGAGCAGGTTTGCTTTTGCTAAATATTAAAAGCCTTAGATACAGTAGCAGACTGTTAAGACATCACGTAATACATAATCAGTCTATATCATGACGTTTAATATTGCCTTTTTGATCACTTATAACTGATAATAAATGTGAGTAACAAAAATGTATTTCATATTAATCACTACCTTTAGACTGGCTGATGTCCGAATAGTATAGTCCTCAATAGCGTTCATATTCCGTTGACGATTTCACAATCTAATCAATTCAAGTGACTCAATGTCAACATGTATGATTGCGTCACTTATAAAAATTTGAATCACTTAGGAGCTATATTTTCTTCAAGAATACAATTACATTTCATTGATTTATGCCAATTAGCATTAAATTGATGTTGATTTTCTTCAATCGATTGACGTCAAATATTTTACAATGAATTTGTATATTAAAATTAGAACACACTATAAAACTACCGTAAGTTATACACACATTAGAAGTTGATTGTTGAATATACCATTCTTAAGTACTTTCTTTGATTTAGTTATTCAGGGATAACATATAAAAGGATTTATTCATTTGAATGACATAATATTCATTTTTCATACTATTATGGTGTGTGCTACTTATATTGACATAAGTAGTAGATAATGTTAGTCGTGAACAGAAGGTCTGACAGTAGAGAAACAAGAGGATCGAACAGTAATTAATAGAAACAGGATGCAATTTGTATGGAAATGCAAGAACAATGAAGTCTGAGTCATTATGAGACAATTAGTGAACATTTTGCAAATTAAGCATTTACTTTATGATTGTTAGATTTTATTAACAAGTCTTATAACTTTGTGTTAAATACCTTCGATTATTCCCACTCGTGTTCTGTTTGCTACACTATTCTCAAATAATAAAATATTATTCTTAGTTGAAATTCAATAAGACATTTCAAACAAGCACATAATACTTGTCACTCTTTTTTATTTATCCTATTGTTTATTTTTCATTTCAAGTGAACAGTTATTTTGATTGTCTAATTTATTCTTCCAATAGTGATGTTTCCTTTTCTAGTCATTTTATATTGCTTGTTATAAGTTTATTATCGTTGTTTTTTGTTTATTATTATCTTTATTTCAATGAATTAATTGATGTCATTTCTTTAGTTTTTCTTAGAACCATATATGACAGAGTAGTTTACTTTTTTCATTCTTGGAACAGAATATCCATATATATATATATATATTGCCATTCAAATAGAAAATCTTGACAATATGCAAACGACAAGAATAAAAATTCTATAGAGAATAACTAACCAAAATTAAAAAGAAGGAAATATATGAATGAAACAAATGTAGAAAGTAATATAGTAATAAATCGACTTATTTAAGTGATTTAAGGTGAATTTCATTGAAATATTAATGGAATAATTGAGAATTATGAAACTGCTATATTGGTGGAGTATTTTTGTTACATTTTATTCATTATTAACAAGAAGTATATAAGTACTCTATGAAAAGCTAATAATGAACAATTGTTCTCTCATTCAAACTACGAATAGTTTTCTTTTTCACTAGTTCACATAAATAAAACTTCGGTTAAATTAGACTAAAGTAAGGTGAAATAAGAACTAGGTCATTAGATGAAAATTTGGTTAATTTAGTAGTGTAATGAAAATATCAAATATGTATGAGTTCATTTATTCTATGATTTACTATTAGATTGAGATTAAAAAACTTATTGTATGAAAAAATGATTCGTTGTTTAGTTTCTAAATTATTTTGTTGCGAAATTGATACTACTGAAAAATTACTTACTTACTTACGCCTGTTACTCCTCGTTAAGGAGCATAGGCCGCTCACGAGCACAATCCGTCCAACCTTGTCCTGGGCAATCATTTCCAGCTCCTTCCAGTTGTTATTCATCCTTTTCACATCTACCTCTATTTCTCGACGTAATGTGTTCTTTGGCTTTCCTCTTTTCCGCTTCCCTTCAGGATTCAAAGTCAGGGCTTGTCTCGTCATGCAGTTTGATGATTTGCGTAGTGTATGTCCTATCCATTTCCATCGTCTTTTCCTAAGTTCTTCTTCGGCTGGAACTTGGTTTGTTCTCTCCCAGAGAAGGCTGTTGCTGATGGTATCCGGCCAATGGATGTTGAGTATCTTGCGTAGACAGCTATTTACAAATACTTGTACCTTCTTGATTGTGGTTGTTGTAGTTCTCCAAGTTTCAGCTCTGTACAGTAGAACTGACTGTCCTGACGTTCGTATTGAAGATTCTCACTTTGATATTGGTTGACAGTTGTTTTGAGTTCCATATATTCTTCAACTGAAGGAATCCGGCCCTTGCTTTGCCAATCCTCGCCTTTACGTCTGCACCTGAACCTCCTTGTTCATCGATGATGCTTCCCAGGTATGTGAAGGATTCGACATCTTCCAGCGTTTCGCCATCAGGAATGAGTGGATTGCTGTTCTCCGTGTTATATTTGAGGACCTTGGTTTTCCCCTTGTGTATGTTGAGGCCTACTGATGCAAAGACTGCTGCTACATTAGTTGGCTTTATCTGCATTTGTTCGTGTGTATGCCATAAAAGGGATATATATTTCCCTAATGTTTATATTGCTGCTATTTTTCTTCATAAATATTGGATTGATTGTCAAAACTATATTTCTATTCAAAATTCGGCAGACAATTCAATTACAAACCAATGTATGCACCTATATCAGCCAAATTAAATTTGTATAAATCTTCATACTGATAAAATACTTCAATTTTTGACATGAATTCTGCTGATTCGTTAAAATATACTCTCTATAACTGTTTTATTTCATATAACAACCTTTAATAATAGAATGATTAATTAAACTTTTCATTAACCTACATGTTTCTTAGAACTTTCAGATTTCATTATTACAAAATCAGTTTGAAATGATTTCAGGAGAAAAGACTATTAGAATATATTGTTATAAATAACCGCATCATTTATAAAAAGATTTTCCTTTTTTTCACTGATACACTTTACATTAATTTTTCCAGAATACACATACTTAGAAAAGCGTATCTCGTTTCAGCATAAGATTTAAGTTGTGTTTCTTTTTTCTTCAAACAACAGAATAATTCAAAGGGGAATATTCAATTTTCTATTTAGAACAATGATGTGTATATAATTCTGATAATTTCTGTTTACTAATATTTTATAAATAGTGTAGAGATACTAAAAATAGAATTGTTTATGGTTGGATACAATTATTGATTAGTAGTTAGAAGAAATCAAAACATTTGTTTGCCTGTTTTCAATATTCAATGCATAGTAGTCTTAATTATGGTCTGACATTTCAGAATTCTTAATTAGCTATTTTGTCTATATCTCTTAGTAGGCAATTTATTTCCTTGTGCAGATTTCCCTTTCGTTTGTTATTTCAAATAAAGTAGTTACTAATACATTTAAATCCAAAAAATAGTTATTTCAATCATCACATTATTGTAAGTATACTTGATTTACTAAACAAATATTGTTGACAGTTGATTTACTGGATAAAACATTGAGCTTTTAACGTTCAAAGTATTCGTTTAAACTTCAAGCAAACTGTTTTATTTTTAATAACCCATTATAAGTATAACACAAAACATAAAAGTCAGAGATGACAGTACAAATATCTAAATCTGGTTATCAAATAATCATTATCGGTAAAACGAATGCGTTTTTCTGCTTAAGAGAACACTTCATTCTTTTATAGAATAATTGAGTACACATAACAAAAGAATATAACTTCGAGAAAGAAAACTTTTGTGTTGATATGACACTAACAAATTATGAGGTAAATTACCGTACAATATTTGAAAAACTTGAACTCAACTTTACATTTAAAGTAATAGCCAATTTTCGTACATTATGTTTCACTACTGAAAGGTATACCTATACTATTTTCACATATTTTTCTTGAGTTTTACTTCATATAATCAAATTTTAAGGAATTTTCATAAAAAGCACCTTGATAACAGTTTTCGCGTTTGTTTTTCTTTTCAGATGGCTGGTTTAATATTAGGCTTATTACTATTAAGAAGTTTTTCAATGGATGATTATCCAGAGATTAATTTACGTGAAAATGTATGAACTGTCAAGATAGAATCATACTTACACATATTTATATATCTACTCATAAAATTTGCATTTCTGAAAAAAAAAACTGGACTGATTATTTTACTTCATTCCAAAATATATCAATCTCCTGTCTGTATATCTTCCTATCTCTATTATATTTCTACTTTTTATTCTGCTCTTATTTCTTGTTTTATCCCCAAACCTTTTGTTTGTACTTCATGTTCATTTCATTGTATCATCTTTTTTTCTTTTCACAGATCTACTTTGTTTTTCTATCTCTCTTTGAATATTTTATTCTAAAATATAATCAATCGTTTTCATTTGATGTTAAAAAGGCGGATTACATAAAAAGAATTGATCAATATTATCTTAATTCATTCGTCTAATATCTGTCTCACTATCAAATAAGGAATAGAATACTAACATAAACATTTTGCTATCAAATATATACATATATATTCATATCATTTATTTGTTTCAATGTTGCCTGATATGAGCTTCATTTCTTCTATATACTTTTTTTTTGGTTATCGATGCCAGTGAATTTTAACCTTATTCCATTGCTGATATATACAAGAGTGATCATTTGGAAAGAAGAGTAGCAAGTTATAATTTTAGTGTAAGTCAATAAAGAAACATTAATTTGATCAGAAACAATAATGAAATTAATAAAATGTGCACATATATCTATCTGTATATCCCTTAAATATCAGATACAATATTTATACATATTTTCCTAATGGATTATTTTTGTCTTTACCTTCTTATCTTATTATCAACCATAAGGTCAATTTGCACTTCATAAACTATAAAGTTGTCTTGAAATTTTCATTTAGTTAATATACGTTTATTACAGTTTTGTTTACTATATAGTGCATAACAGCTTGTCGTTTTTTTTTAATATTTTTCCTATAGCCGTTTGTTACTATGTTGTGAATTCCTTTTTCTTTTAGATTTACTGAAGCTTATTTAAACTTTAATAACTACCTTTCTATTCATTTTATTCAAAGTAGAAGACAATCATTTTATCTCGCATTTGCCACAGTACAAACAGGAGTAGTGTAAATGGTTTGTTTGCTTAAAAGTGCCATCATCATGCAAATCATGAACCATCTGATTTTTTTATTAAAAAAACTGTTAATTGTACAAGATTATTAGGCATGTAGAGAAAACATTTCTGTAGTCAATTTATAAATATTTTTTGATCTATCCCATTGGTTTATTTGTTAAGTTCATCACACCAATATTAACTCATCTCCACGTTGATTTTCATATGTTTTATTACAAATTTGTGTGTATTTGTGTATTTTTTAATAAAAGCATTGTAAAGTTGTTTTGATGAAGTAGTAACTGTATATTGTGCTGGTCAAGACGTTCATTATCTTTATAAATGAAATATTCAAAGTGAATTTGTATGAATGTACTTTATGGTGAGTTGATCAATTCCATATTGTTAACAACCAGTCAGCTACTAAAAAATGATACATAATATTAAATAACCATTACAAGTATGTGTATCAATTTATACCCGTGTCAAAATCAAAACCATATTACTTGATAATGAATAGCTCAACATAATGTATCAAGTGAATATACAAAAGAGTGATTATTACTTTACGATGTGTACTCAGAATAGAAAAACTTGACAGATGAATATGTCTAGATTTGATAAATCTAATAAATTGCATTTCTTTCGATAGACAAAATACTATAATATGATGTGGTTAGTTGTTAACTACTCACAAGAAAGCTTAAATTTGCGCAGGTTTGTCACCGAGTGAATAATTTTAGTGTACTTACCAAACGGTTCATATAATTGACTGTTGCATTCGAAATATCACTTCAGTAATGTACAAGTGAGAAACAAGAAAAAGATAACAATTAATTTTCTTAAATTATTTTCTGATCTCAGAGTTCGTCATAAACATTTACACAAACTGATTCATCTAAAATATGCTACTATACCAATAAATAGAATCATATTAAAGCCTAGAATATATTAGAATAACTGAACTGAAAAAAGTACAATAAACCGAACAAAAGAACGATACCTAAAGCAGTCGGTTCATTTAAATATCTACCGATTTTAAATATCATTGAATCTCGCGTTCGCGCGCGAGACAGAAGGCCCTGGGTTCGAATCCCGCGAGCGAGATGTACACTGCTGAGGAGTCCAATAATAGGAAGAAACGGCTGTCCAGTGCTTCCAGGTTTCCAAAGGTGGGCTAACATCAATCAATTCATAATCTCAATTAAAAACATCATAACATATCCAGATTCTAACTATATTTATCTTGTTCCATAAATGCTTACAAATCTATTTTATTGATAAAAGTCACACTATTTTATTGTACATTTATCCAATCCTTTGATATCTCTTAGATTTAATACTTTATTTTGGCATTAAAATATAGTCAAATATTCTCAGTCGTATGGCAAAATATAACACCAATATTATTCAATCATAACAAATCAATATTGACGCTAATAAAATAAGTATATCCTAGAAATAAAACTCCTTGACAGATACATGCTCGTTTAAAAAAAAGCAGTGATTTTTGTACTTGTCATGATTATTCTTGCTTTGTGTACCTGTTGCACCAAAAAGCATTCTTGGTCTACTTTAACCAAAAGTACTGTGGTTAAGGTTTGAAATTTTTGCTAAACTTTGTCCTGTGGTACCTTTTATTACTCACTGTCTGACACTCGTGTTCACATTGTGTTCATATTGTTTTTTACACCTTTTTAATCAAATTACAATGGTTAGTAAGACTTATAAGTGTGGACAACCAAACTGCTTGTTCCCCGTTGAGGAAGGAATGCAGTGCGATGAATGTAAAAAGTGGTACCATAAGATGTGTACATGTCTAAGTCCTACGGCATACAAAAGATGCTCGAAGCCTAACTCGCATTGGCTTTTTATGTTTTGCAGTACAAATAAAAAGTTACTAATTCAGGAAGCTATCATTGAATTCCCAACCTAATTAAAGAAGGGAGTGAATCTGAACTGATATAGGAAGATCAGGAAAAAGCAGAAGCTATGGCTGACTATTTTGGGGCAGTTTTCACTCTGGAACCTCCTCTAAACAAAGAACCAGACAAAAATAGAGTCAACAAACCACCTGCTCACCGTGGACTTCGATCAAGACGATATGCTTAAGGCTCTTAGCACCTTAAACATGGGAAAGTCGACAGGACCAGATGAAATACACCCCAAAATCTTGAGAAATATTGCATAGTATATCGCGGCCCTACTGCCTGTGATATTCAATATGTCACTTAACCACAGTGTGTTACCTATGGATTGGAAGGACGCAATCGTCACTTCCATACATAAGACAGGACCAAGACAAGTTCCATCGAACTACAGACCTGTAAGCCCCACCAGTGTTGTAGTTAAAATATTGGAAAGAATAGTTAAACGGACCATAATGGCATTTATGGAACCAAATAACTTGCTAAACATAGAACAACATGGTTTTAGAAAGGGTCTATCTTGTACGCCGAACTTCCTTATAGCAAGGGAGTTTTGGATAAAGGCGCTAGACAACGGAAACTCAGTGGATGTTGTCTACATAGACTTCAGTAAGGCTTTTGGCAAGGTGCCAACTAATAGACTGCTATTGAAGTTGAAAAACCTTGGTATTTCCGGACCTTATTTAAAATGGATCAAGGTGTTCCTAGTAGGTCGTAGACAGAAAGTAAGAATAAATTCGAAGTGCTCCATCTGGAGACCAGTACTTAGTGTGGTACCTCAAGGTTCCGTCCTAGGTCCTTTACTTTTTGTAATCTATGTTAATGATCATACAAGTATAGTACAGTATCCAATGTTATTATACGCTGACGATGTAAAGATCCGGCGAGTAATAACTAGAGACACAGACGCATGTGGTCTTTAGGCAGACTTAAATAATTTGAGTGGCTGATGCCTATCAACGCGGAAAAGTGTGTCTACATGCACTTTGGGGATTCAAAGGTTAATAGGTACAACATATGGGAAGTGTCATTACCCGTGGTTCGGTCTCATAAGGACCTAGGGGTGACAGTGAGTCATGATCTTAAGAAGACGACCCATCGCCGGGAGCTCGCACCTAAGGTGTTTCGAACCCTCTGGCCTTTAAAACGGGCATTCACTAAGTTAGATACTACCATGTTCACCACAGTATACACATTCTTAGTGAGAACTAAGCTTGAGAACTGCATTCAGGCCGCAAGCTCCTGTTTAAACGCTGACTCGGATATCCTAGAAAAAGTACCGAGGGCAGTTACCTGTGCAAATCCAGAACTCCGAGGTTTACTATACAAAGAGCGGCTTGAAAAGCTGGACCTCTTTACTCTGTCCTATCGCAGATTAAGGGGAGATCTAATTTTGATGTACAGAATACTGAGAAATGATTTCGGACCTAACTTATTCTCTCTTTTTCTTCTCACTAGATCAAGACATCTCAGAGGACATAGCAGGCGAGTAGAAAAGCCAAGGACAAACAAAATACCCGTGGCATACAAGTTTTCACACCGAGTCATCAATACTTGGAACCTGCTGCCCGAAGCAGTGGTGTCCGCACCTTCAATGCACTCTTTCTAGTGAAGAGTGGACACCCACAGAAGCATACTAGAAAAGGAATAACATAGGCCGTAGGCCTTCTGTCCTTACTACACAAATCTGAATCTGATTCTAAATATAATCGAATTTTATCGTAGCAACTAATCGCATATATCAGCTGATAAACACAAGTAACAAATTCATTTCAGATAAATGTATACAACTTTGAAAATTAGTTATTGAATATGAGGAAATCATTTATTGACTATAAAAAAACTTTCTTTTATTTCTAATCAATCCAAAATAGTTATTATTTCATTAATTCATTGATAAGATTTCGTTTATCATCCTAACAACTAATTATATTAACTAGTCTTAATAGATAAACAGAATTAGTAACGATAATAGAATGATTATTATCAGACAAATTATATTATTATTATTATTATTATTATATAAAACTCTTTAT